CCTCGGCACACGGTGGCTGCGTTGGCAAAAAAAATGCTGCCTTCTCTTGCAGTTGCCTGAAGAAAGAAAAAGCGACTGATTGACATGCAAAGCATCGCGCAGTCTGGTCCTTGATTGATGGTTGGTTGGGACTACAGGCCAAGTCGATGCAGCAGCTGTTGGCCACTGAGACCACTCTATGCGAGCTGGAGCAGAAGGCAGGATTAGAACAGATGCTCCGAGAGAACAGATGTTCCGATTGCTTTCTTACCTTCAGCTCCTTTGCAGGTCGCATCAGTGCAGCTGGCCCTGCGTGCCGTTCAAGTGCCAAGGTGACCGGAGAAGTCATCTACTCAAGCAGGCTTAGCAGGCTTAGCAATTCGCAGGAGCTCAGCCAAGTCACAGCTGGCGCAAATAGAGGCCCAGGCAAAACAACTTGAGGCACTCGAGAGCTTCCAGTTTTCTTTGCTTCATGCACCTTTCTTGAGAGTCTTTTCTTGCTGTTACTATATTTTTTAAGGAAGCAGCCTCAAGTCCTGACACAGGCTGCTGGCGTGGATGCTGTGATCACGACCGATTTGCAATCTGGGCGTCAGGCAGCCAAGGACCCGTAAGACGAAGTAAAAACATATCAAATAATAGCTGGCCAGCAGTGAGGACGTGAAGAAGGAACTGCTCCAAAGCCTGGGTCGCAATCACGCTTGTGTTGAAAACGCATTCCAAGCATTCCTGCCGTTCCAGAGTCTCTGCCAAGGACTTGAGCTCCTCTTCACAAGATTGGATGGCCTGTTCCAACAGCTTGGTTGACTCTTGACTTTTCACATGGAACACGCTCTGGCAGAAAAGTGAGCGCGCCCCATCACGCTGCATATGTGAGATAAATGATTGAGGCTTCTTGATAAGGCATACCTGGTTGCGCGCCGCCGCTTGCAGGTAAGACCACATGTTTACTGATACATGCCAGAGACTTTCCAGACTGTACTGCAACCTGGCAGGGCCTGGCAGGGGATAAGCTAGTGGCAGGACTAGGTTCAACAATCTGCAGGCCCAAGTGTTGAACAGGACCAAGCAATAGTTTGGCTTGCACAGTTTTTTTTTTTTTTACATCTCACAGCAAACTCATCAACAAAGCACACAGCTTCTACAAAGCAAGCCCAATGGCTTTGCCGGCCACCACTTGCATGGCCCAAGCCCAAGCCTGTCACGTTGCAGATCAACAGCTTTTTTTGCGTTTTGTGAAGTGAACGTTTGTCATTCGTGCGTTCTGCTAGTTCTTAGGCTGCTTTTGTCTGCCATCTTTTGCTCAACAGCGGTAGCGACAAAGACCGCAGACCAGCGTGAGAGAGCGAAGCCATGGGGAAGGCAGCGAAGGGAGGCAAGAAGCTCCCCGCGG